AAAAAAAAGTTGAGTACAAGCAGGGATGTCCTTGAAGAGTTGAACAGATGAAGACCTCAATGGCCTGTATAGCTGAAAGTATGCTGGACTTATAAAGTGCCAAAAAAAGGGTGGAAGCTTTACAGCATCCACACAATTATACCATTAAAACACACATCAGGTTTTCAAAATGTTTGTTATAATACATTTGATTTTTTAGGCAGTGTCAGTGTTTGACGGAGCAGCAGGAGATGAGCCAAGTAATGTCCAACATGTGTTTAGTGAATGAATTGCCATCAGTCATAAACCTTGGAAACATTGCGGCGACAGAACTCTAAACATCCTCTACACAGATTCTCGTAAACACGTTGTTACGGCTCAAGCAATCTTGCCCCCCGGGTGTTTTAGTAACCTTGCTGCGTGTATGCAAATTTTGCACAAGTGTAACTCATTCAGGACTGGAGTATGGAGTCCATTCATGGTTACATCATCTAGCTGTTGGACTGGACTGCTACCACCCATGACCCACCAATCCAGTGAGAGTTGGTGCACTGCCGTTTCCTGCCTTTGCAGCTTGGACCAACTCTGTCACCGTAAGCCAATCATTATTCCTTTCATTATTATTCCTGGTTAAAAGCGAGGCTCAACTGTCATTCCAGCAGCTGTGTTCATGAGTGAGCTCTGAACTCTGAACTTAACCCTGAGCTGTGAGTTGACTAACCCTGTGATGGGCAACTCAGTTTTCAGTTCCAGAAAAACTGATCAGTTAGTTCAATTAACTCTAAGTATGTTCAGTCTAATTTAAGCATGTGCGTGATGACTATAAAAAGCCATAATCAATGGAGCTCGAACAGTATGATTCACTAAGGCAACGGGTATTTAAATAGAGAGCAGTGTGGCCATTTTAATTCAGAGAAGCACAAATACTGGGTGACATTTTTATCAGCAGCAGGTCAAGAGCCTGAACTGGAAAAATAAAAAAGGTCAATAAGTGAATATCATTATGTTTTATTCAATATAGTTCACTTGTTTAATAGACTTGGATTTCTTTAATGGATGGTAATGTTTGTTATTTGTTAATATGTGTGTCTATTAGGCCTACACATTTAAAAATCTTGTTCAACAGCACTTAACTATGTTAACAGAGTAACTGAAATGCTGCTATAAAACAATTAAAAACCATTTGTATTCTGTACTCAAAAACTGATTTTAAATTGCATTCAGTCCAGTTTTTAAACCTTCAAGTCTTGTAAGCTGCAAGCTTTCTCATTCAGATATATTCGCAAAATTTACAAAATGATCAATAGGCTGAGCTGTGATAGAAATGTTCCATCAGTGCAACCAATAACAACACAAGAAAGGATTATTCATAGGTCAGTGTCTTACTGTAGGAAAATTCTTATGCTCCGATCTGCACTTCGCTATTAACTGTATAAATGACGAGATGAAATGGCCTGTCCAATAGTGTCTGCAGACTCTGCAGTATGGTGGAGATGGACCGAAACCTTGGTTTTGTTGAAGATAACCTGCCAGCGAGCAGATTAGGACAGAGACACGCCAAGCTGATGTGAAAGAACTAGTAATGACAAAGGCTGACTGTTGCATCACCTCAAGTGACCTTAGTCTGTGCCAGTTGGGTTGAAAAAGTGACACTTCAACATGTGCACGCTTTGTGCCTGCATGAGACAAATAACTCCCCCTACCAGCAGGTGGCGGTATCTGTGTACACCATTCAGAAAGGGAAAGAAGAACTAGGCAGTGGAAATACAAGATGTAAACAAAGCAGCTGTCGTTCAAGTTCCCCTCATTTCACCTCACTTGACCTGCTTTCTGGATTACCCCCTGGTCTTTATTGTGATAGTCTTGGGAAATCTTTGTAGGTTTGTTTCATCTGTCTTTAGAGCTGCCTTTTGTCCAAAAGGGATCAGAAAGTTGGTCAGTAAATCCTTGATGGGTGTTTTAGCTCATCTGATGGATTTTTTTGTCTGCTATAGAAAGTCACTTTCGGCTTTTCCCGTTTAGGGGTCGCCACAGCGAATCGTCACACTGACGACTCGCATGTTGACATTTAACACGTTTTACGCCGGACGCCCTTCCTGACGCAACCCTGATTCGAACCCAGGCCGCAGCGGTGAGAGCGCTGCGCCTTAACCACTAGCCTACCAGGAAATATTTAGGCCAATGTTTGATTGTTATTTTAAACAGTGGTTTTAACCAAAAGGAGCACATCAGAGGAAAAGGAAAAAACTAAGTTTTGAATATATATTTCTTATTTTCCCTACTGCTAATCATGTACAAATATCTCACCATGGGCTCAGTAGAACAGGATGCCACGGTAAAATCATCAGACATTACCATTGCTAGGGGACAAATGATAAAGTGCTCAAATTTAATTACCTGCAAAGTAGCATATCACTATTTCTTAAATTAACTTTATTACGAGTCCAAGAAATGTTCGACTGAAGACTTTTCTCAGCCATCCAGACCCTCCGGAATTTTGTACCTGCATCCCACTCCAACAGACTAGGATCCTCCCAGCTGCTCCCTGCTGCAGTACGGATACACTTCTTCACCTTCTCCACCTTTGTTTTCTTTTTGTCCTCTGTAGTGCTTTCCAGAGGCTGGAATGAATCAATGAACACACACAGACATGTTTCCATCATTTCAGGGGGACATTACATTGACTTACATTCATCTCCTAGAGACCCTAACTTTAACCATGACCACTAATCCACCCAGCCACTGCTAATTCAAAGGTTCAAGGTTCAAAGTGTTTGTCATATGCACAGTAAGGAAACATGTTTCCCTGTACAATTAAAATTCTTACTTTGCGTTTACATCTGAAAATTAAAATGGAAAGAATCACCCGCAAACTTAATAAGACTGAAAGAGCCTCCCAGTTGAGGAATTTTGCAAGTAAAAAAATTCTAATTGAAATATTCTGTTACAAGTCCTACATTCAAAATGTTACTTAAAATGTTACGTAAAAATACAAAAGTATTAGCATCAAAATATGCTTAAAAGTCCAGGTAAAGGAAAATCAGTGACTTGTTTCAAAGCACATTATAATAAGAAAAAAAAATGAAAATAATTACTGAAAACTTGAAAAGACTATGTAGTACTGAAGTATGGAGTTAGAACATTTAACTGTTTTTCCATCATGTTTGTGTTTTGACTGGGACACAAAACATGACTCAGTAATGCACCGGAGCCAACCTTACCAAAACAAACCTCTAACATGAACATTATAAAAACTAGAGCTTATTAGCATCAGTGGTTCTGCTGCACAACTGTGAGCTGCAACACCTATTACAGCAAGTCTAGTAAGTTTTCTGGACAGTTTAGCTACTGTGCCTTGAAGCTTCAAGATTCAGAGATTCAAAGAGAAGAGAATCACCAGTACTGTCTTTAAGGTTGCAGTCTTAGTTGAAGATTTAGTTTTTACACATCATGTTGTAAACTCTTGTGTAAAAAGTCCAGAAACATTTTTTTGTTTCATGGGCGGTACAGCAGCACGGTGGTTAGTGCTGTCGCCTCACAGCAAGAAAGTTCCGAACTTGAGCCCGGGCCGACCCCAGGGCCTTTCTGTGCGGAGTTTTCATGTTCTCCATGTGGCTGCGTGGGTTTTCTCCAGGTACTCTGGCTTCCTCCCACAGTCCATCACTGGCTATAGAACCCTCCCCCGCCCCGCTCCGCTGTGGAGGACCGTCAACTAGCAGACGACCTGAGTGTGTTCTACTGCAGGTTTGACAACACTTTCTAAAGCCTCATGAGAGACAATCATGAGTTCTTCAGTGTTAATGCTAGGAATCAGACTGCTGTACCTCAGTGTGGGGGACCTCAGGTTCGGGCATGCTGGGTCCAATGACAGTGCTGTTGTCTTCACTCTCTTTCTTGTCGAGTAGACCTGCTGCCATCACTGCTGTCTGCTGTTCTGCAACCCGTGCTGCCAATTCCTCCTGAAAGATCCATATCAGATGCATTGAGAATGATTTATGAATAGCCAGCCCAATGCTACGCAGCATGCCTTCATACGTGCCCCGCCCTTTTTGAAATTCAGAAACACACACTGACCCCTCCAACCCCAACACAATTTGCAGATACCAGAGTTAGTCTAACACTGTTTTTCCTACAGTCCTCTAATATTTACTTCTAAAGTTCATTATTAAAAAAAGACACTATATAATTCAAATCACATTTAAAAACAAGTTGTACCAAAGTAATTCACAAGCATTTAATAAAAGCATCCAAATTGAACCATCACAACCACAGAAATTAAAGCACCAGAAATATACTAAAACATCCTAACAAAATACAAGCAGATTAACATATCAAAGTAAAAGTAGAAAGCAGGAGACCACCTGGTTTCTAGCAAATGTGTGTCCTTCTGGTTGTGGGGCAAAGACCTATGTCATTAAGAGGGCCTTAAGCAGTGTTTTAAAAGGTCCCAAGTCTGATACTGATCTAGTATTTATCGGTAAGCTATTCCGGAGCTTAGGGGCTGCCACTGCAAAAGCCCAGTCATGCCCAGTATCTACACTTAGACCTGGGCACCTCCAGGATTCCATGGTCTTCAGTAGGGTTGCAACAGTATGAGATTTTCATGGTATGATAACTGTCTCAGAAAATATCATGTTTCAGGGGATTATGGTATTACACAATATTATTATCATCAGCTACAACCCCCAAAAGAATGGAAAAAAGGGTCTTTTTAATTGCAAATGACTGTTCCAGGTAATTTAGCTGGACTGCAGCATTAGATTGACCCTAAAGAATAAACAGGATCATAAACATGATTTTCAAAAAAGCATATTGCTTTAATGCTATATAACTAAAGCATGTTAGTTTGCATGTTAGCACCAGTAGTAGAGAAAGTTATTCACATCCTTTAAGTAAAAGTAGCCTACTCTGTTACAAGTAAATGTCTTGCACTGAAAACATTAAGTAAAATTATTATAACAAAAATGTAAAGTATTAAAAACAGAAGTAGGCTACTCAATAGAGAAAAATGTTATAATATACTTTTATACCATTATATATCATCACTCATGCATTTATGTAAATGTGGGATTTTATTGTTGTAGTTGGTTTAAGTGGGATTTGGGATTATTATTATCTCCATTAAATCAACTGACTGCTTTGTAAAACATCTGACAATGGCAAGAACGACCATCACAACACTCTAAAGGATTATCAAAATAGCTGCTAACTTATCATAGGTGCGCAACAGCGCAGCTAGACTGAGCCTGTCAATACTTTTACTCACTCTCACACACACACACATACACACACAATGTTCTGTCAAATTTTGGTACCTATCGAGACATGCTACCTACCATTCACAAAGTGGTTAGGTATCAGGGTGAAGGATGGGGTGGAGTTAATCAATCCATAGACTCTTCTACAAAGGTAGCATATCTCAACAAGGTAGCAAAATTTGGCACAACACTGGAAGCCAATGACCCAAAGTCAATCTGCCATCAAAATGATTTTGAAGCTGTTATTTTAAATGTAAAAAGTTATGCATTGCTACTTTAAGCAGAGGCTGAACTACCACATGCTTAAAGGCAGATGCAACAGAGCCTAAGTTAAGGCACAGATTAAAGAATTTTAAAAAATTAAAAAAAAAAAGCCCTGATGGTCTCAAAAACCTGCTTGAACAGAACAGATGACAAACGGTCCAAGAGGCAATGAGTTGATTTCATCTGGTGAACCACTTCTGTGTACTATAGTTGTTTTTGGTGGCCTGTTTTCATTTTAGTTTTAGTATAGTCTTTGTGTGAAGCTGTCATTTTAGTTTTTATTAGTTTTAGTCACATTCATACTCTTTTTAGTCTAGTTTTAGTCGACGAAAACTGATGACAGTTTAGTCTAGTTTTAGACAATGAAAATTGTATGCGTGTCTTTTTAGTAATGCAATTCTATTTAACCCAGTCAATAGAGTATAAGTACCTAGTAGTATAGATGAAACCAAAATTTTCTTTTAGCCAAACCCATTTCAAACAAGGTTATCTTATTATATTATTGTTGCCTTATAGACTCAAGAATACATCCAATACACATTTTGTGTGATTTTGTGGCTGCATTTCACCCCATCTTTTCCCACAACACATTTTCTTTTCCACTTCTATGTAATTAAAGTTTTTCCAAATGTCGTTTCTTCTTTTTCTCACAAAGATGAACCCCGGCTGGCCAGCCATCGGTCCCTTTCTCTGTGTCAGACTTAACTTTGTTTGTTGTCGTCTTCTAAATAATGCCGCGAGTGGGGCTTAAAGGAAGTGACGTCACCTGCGTCTGCGCAGTGCGACCTGATGCGGTCCCTGAAGTGAGACACAGGAAACAGAAATACTGCAAAATAATAACAAAATAATAATAATAACACGACTGAACGAGACGAAATAACGTTATAACATTTCATCTCGTTTTTTTATCCTCAACAATATTGCATTATACATTTAATTATAGTTATCGTCACATGACTAGCATTTTCGTTGCGTCTCGTCTCGTTTTCGTCACGCGATAAAGGTTCATTGACGACGATATTTAGTCATAATTTTCGTTGACGAAAGCAACACTACTGTGTACAAAAGTACCCTCTGTTTACCGATGTTGTCAAATGCAGGCATCCAGGTAACACAAGCAAAACATAAAATCACAAGTACACAGCAAGTTCTCGCAACATAATGCTTGTAGTAAAACACATACTTTGCTTTGTAAGACATCAATCAAAAGCCAAATACCATTCTGGCTTGTCTCTGAGCTCTAACATCAATTCTTTTATATCCAGCAGGGGCAGGAGGAGCAGAGTATACAGTTGGTGCTGCCTGGATAATAGATGGCGTCGGTTTGACTGGAGGTGGGGCTCCCTGTCTTGTGGTTGGGGTTGACAACATCGAGACCATATCACCAACCTGAGTGAGCCAGCAACACACAAACAGAAACACAATGTACACCACAAAATAACTTATCTGGAAATAATTAGCAATGGTGTTGACACAAAACAGGAATTAAATTGACTCCAGTTTAGTTTGTGTTTACAGAAGCAACAACTGCTGACATATCATAGTAAAACAAAGCAATAATGTGCACAGAGACTGATGTAGTGAAAAATCTTCTAGGTACAGTAGAGTGCTGCACCACCCTTGAGTGAATGTCGTGCCAACAGTGTTTGCTTCTTTGACCTGAGGTACAGCAGCCATGTGTTGGATGGGTTGAGAAGGACCCTGAGGTGTCTGGGCCTGCAAGGAAGGAGACAGCATCATGGGAGGAGGTGGAGGTGGCCGTGGTAGAGGTGGTGCTATCGGGGGACCACGCATCATCTGCAGTCTCTGACCACCTAACAACAACATTAAGATATTGACATGTTGTATGAACCACATTTTGTGAATGAAGGCACAGAATGAAGCAGGGGGTGCCACTTAACAGCAAAGGTCATTTGTCTAAAGTTAGCGATATTACAAACCCAAAAGGCGAGTAGCTGATTTACACAAATGTACTAGTTCCACAGAGGTCATGGCATCAGCATCAGATGTACTGATTGTCAATAACTTGAATCATCTCAGTATAGTGTTCTCTAGCCGCAGACTTGGCTAAAACGAGCTAAGCTAGTCTCTGGGCCACCATTTAAGATGTCTGCAAGAGAACGTGACTTTGGAAAGAAGTACTGCATGCGAAGCAAGCCAACTGTTAACTATAATTGTGTGGATGCTGTAAAGCATACACACTATGCTCTCCTGTTCTTTATTGTGTGGAATGTTATCCAATTATTTATTGTATGGATGCTGAGTTGGCATCCATACTATGTTATCCTGTTTTATGTTATTATTATTGTATGGATGCCGATTTAGCATCCATACTGTTATCCAATTATTTATTGTATGGATGCTAAATCAGCATCCATACAATGTTATCCAATTATTTATTATATGGATACAATAAATAATTTTTAAATGCTGTGAATCACTTTTATAAGAGAATCGCGGCTCACTTAGCATGTTGAAGCTTTATACAGTATTAGGCTTCGGCATGCTAACAGCTAGCAGAGTTGACATGAAGCTCTTTATTTAAAATAAACTCTTTAGTTAAGGTAACATGGTGTTTTCCATACTATCTTATCCAATTATTGTATGGATGCTGATTCAGCATTCATACAATGTTATCTAATTATTTATTGTATGGATGCTGATTCAGCAAAGACAGTGCCTCTCACCGCTCCATAAACGGCCATTCAACGGAAGGATTCAGAAAGTACGTTTGAAGCAAAAGTTAAGGCTTTTGTAAATCGCTACTGCTTCTTCATTTTCTGAAATATCTTGACAGAGAGGTGATCAGCATTTTTGTTGAACCCTCCTGCGGCTCACAGTGAAGAGATTTTTTCAAAAGGACATAGTTTTTTTCTGTTGTCAATTGTTGAGCAGGACTTTTTCAATACGGTGACAACACGGCTGTTTCAAACGCAGGGAACCTGCTCTGCTAGACGGCAGCTTAATGTCTTTTTTCCAAACACATTGGACTTTCAGAGAACTCGCTCTGGTAGACAGCGGCTTAATGCCTTTTTTCCAAACCCGTTGGAATATTTTAATCAAGCGTGACCGAAGGAGGATTATATCAGAACAGCACCGTGGCTAGGTAAGCTTATATCAATGTATTTTGAACGAGGCAGTGGCTCACTTAGCTCATAGCATTACAATAGGCTAACGGCTAGCGCAGTTCACACGTACCTTGTTATTAAACGTAAAGTTCATGATAATTAATGCAAACTATTTAGTTCAGGTTACACTGTGTTTATACTCAGGCAGGTGAGCACTGAATAATTTTTGAGCGGTCTCAATCACTTTTATAAGCAAGTCGCGGCTAATGACCTGCGTTAGCTTGTGCAGTAAATCACAAAGGCGATCGGTGGTGCTAACAGCTAGTTTAGTGGACGCACTACAATATGCTGCTAACGGCTAGCACAGCAAAGCTCATTATGTAAAGTAAATCTTATGATAACTGTTTAGCTAAGGTTACACTGTGTTTATACTCAGGCAGGTGAACACTGAATAATTTTTAAGCGCTGTGAATCACTTTTATAAGAGAATCACAGCTCACTTGGCATGTCAAAGCTTTATACAGTATTAGGCTTCTGCATGCTAACAGCTAGCAGAGTTGACAGCTCTTTATTTAAAATAAACTCTTTAGTTAAGGTAACATGGCGTTTGTACAGAGCCGTGTAAATGCTGAATAATTTCTGAAAGTTTGATTAGGTTATTTATTGTTATTAAATAAAGTAAACTAATGAGATAACTGTAGTTGTCCTTTATTTCTGACAAGAGTTTCAACGTGTGGGCTGATAGTAGACGGCTACTCTCAGATCATGTTCAGTGTCCAACCTGTTCCTTTGCTTTGACTTGAGCTGTACCTTAACACAGATAGGTTTTTGGGAACAGTAGGGTTGCTTTGACTGCAACAATGTAGCAAGAGAAAGATACTCAAACATCACATATTTGCACCAGAAATGGGGGAGCCTTATCTCATCAAATTTCTTTCTCAGTGTCTGGCCACATGACCTAGATTAAATAGAATGTATGACACTGCATTATGTATTAAAAGCCAATGTAACAGCCCAGGTGAAGAAACTGTCCTTGTGCCTGGTTGTCTTGGTGCACAGTGACCTGTAATGCCATCCAGAGGAGAGGAGTTCCAACAGATTGTGTCCAGGGTGTTAGGGGTCTGCAGTGAGAGGTCTGAAGTTTCACGTCTGAGCAATATAAAAGCTGCGTTTCGCCTTTAAATGACAAACCATTTAAAATAATTACTACATTAGATTCCACCTGAACTAACCTGCTGCATCACGTGTGAAATGTTATCTTGATGGGCCACCTCTGTTACCTTTGAAATATTTAGCTTTATTCTGAAAACCTTGCCCCATTCAAATGAATGGGAAAATTCAACTTCAGCATCATACTTTCAGCTATTTCAGGTATCAAAATGTTCAGCTCTTCAAGGACATTCATGCTTCTCTTCAGGATTTTTCCAAACCTTTAATCTTTGAAATATTTGGCTTTATTTTGAAAGTTTTGCACCATTCAAATGAATGGGAAAATTTTACTTCAGCATACTTTCAGCTATGTTAGGTATCAACATAGGTATCAAAATGTTCAGCTCTTCAAGGACATCCATGCTTCTATTCAAAATTTTTTTTAAACTTCATACTTTTGAAATATTTAGCTTTATTTTGAAAAATTTCCCGCATTCAAAATAATGGGAAAATTCTACTTCAGCATACTTTCAGGTAGATAACCCTTTCAGGTGTCAAAATGTTCACAATTTTCAGGGCAATCCTTCAGCACATGGCATCCACACGCATTTTTGTCAGGAAATGCATTTCTAGTTGTGTGGATGCTGTAAAGCTCAAAAGCCATCAAGTTATCAAAATGTTCAACTCTTTAAGGACA